ATTTCTCTAATTTCTCTAATTTCTCTAATTTCTCTAATTTCTCTAATTTCTCTAATTTCTCTAATTTCTCTAATTTCTCTAATTTCTCTAATTTCTCTAATTTCTCTAATTTCTCTAATTTCTCTAATTTCTCTAATTTCTCTAATTTCTCTAATTTCTCTAATTTCTCTAATTTCTCTAATTTCTCTAATTTCTCTAATTTCTCTAATTTCTCTAATTTCTCTAATTTCTCTAATTTCTCTAATTTCTCTAATTTCTCTAATTTCTCTAATTTCTCTAATTTCTCTAATTTCTCTAATTTCTCTAATTTCTCTAATTTCTCTAATTTCTCTAATTTCTCTAATTTCTCTAATTTCTCTAATTTCTCTAATTTCTCTAATTTCTCTAATTTCTCTAATTTCTCTAATTTCTCTAATTTCTCTAATTTCTCTAATTTCTCTAATTTCTCTAATTTCTCTAATTTCTCTAATTTCTCTAATTTCTCTAATTTCTCTAATTTCTCTAATTTCTCTAATTTCTCTAATTTCTCTAATTTCTCTAATTTCTCTAATTTCTCTAATTTCTCTAATTTCTCTAATTTCTCTAATTTCTCTAATTTCTCTAATTTCTCTAATTTCTCTAATTTCTCTAATTTCTCTAATTTCTCTAATTTCTCTAATTTCTCTAATTTCTCTAATTTCTCTAATTTCTCTAATTTCTCTAATTTCTCTAATTTCTCTAATTTCTCTAATTTCTCTAATTTCTCTAATTTCTCTAATTTCTCTAATTTCTCTAATTTTTCTAATTTTCTAATTTCTCTAATTTCTCTAATTTCTCTAATTTCTCTAATTTCTCTAATTTCTCTAATTTCTCTAATTTCTCTAATTTCTCTAATTTCTCTAATTTCTCTAATTTCTCTAATTTCTCTAATTTCTCTAATTTCTCTAATTTCTCTAATTTCTCTAATTTCTCTAATTTCTCTAATTTCTCTAATTTCTCTAATTTCTCTAATTTCTCTAATTTCTCTAATTTCTCTAATTTCTCTAATTTCTCTAATTTCTCTAATTTCTCTAATTTCTCTAATTTCTCTAATTTCTCTAATTTCTCTAATTTCTCTAATTTCTCTAATTTCTCTAATTTCTCTAATTTCTCTAATTTCTCTAATTTCTCTAATTTCTCTAATTTCTCTAATTTCTCTAATTTCTCTAATTTCTCTAATTTCTCTAATTTCTCTAATTTCTCTAATTTCTCTAATTTCTCTAATTTCTCTAATTTCTCTAATTTCTCTAATTTTAAATTGATCACATTTGTGAAATTGGAATTTTTCCTTCATTTAATTTTCTGCCTAGCAAACAATACAAATTTTTTCATTTTAGTTCTATTTAAGATATTTATTTTTATGATTTTTCAAAATGGTATCTAAGTATCATAAGTATTTGACACACAGAGGGGTCTATTCTGTAACAATTCCTTTATATTTAACGGCCTCTAAAAATATGTTCTTCTTTACTTCTGTCATTATTTAAACGGATCTTTAAAATACATTAGAGGACTATCTTAAAGAAATCTGTTTATGTAATGACAGAAGTAAATTAACGAATACGAAAATATTTTTAAAGGCCGCCAATATTTTTAAAGGCCGTTAAATATAAAGGAATTGTTACAGAATAGACCCCAGAGTCTGTATAATTTAAATGTTGTTAAGGTAGACAGGGAATCCATTTTTCTTTTCTTAACATAAATGTTATGTGAATCGGAACTAGCTTCTGAAAAGGTTATACTAAAATTGAATGAATATTATATATCCAAAATTATATAATTATTTTCTTAGTAGTTCCGGACTGTAATGATAGGGTCGCTGAATTCATAATTTTAATGTTTCACCTTTTAGTGTTGATTTAATTATTTTAATAATAAAAAAATTAAATAAAAAAGAAGAAAATGAACAAATTAAAGGTTTACTCAAACTTACCGGATAGGAGGGAAGGGCAATTGTCTTCCTTATGTCCTGGGGATGAAACTTCCCTCGAAGTCGCGCAATGCGAGGTAAATAAAAGCCGTATTAACAGGTTCACAAAATTTTGCCGGTTGGGATTAATTTTAAACTGAATAGTCCACAATTTAACACGATAGCGTTCGTTTTCGTTGTGTTTCGCAATTCGACAGACTTCCAAATCGGTAAAGGACAAAAAAATGATTCAAAGTATAGCATTAGGACGGTTGACTATTAGAATAGGGGGAAATGGAGAAATATGAATCAAGTAAACCTTTATCGTAATTAAATATAAAAATTATGAAATATGAATTATAACAAACGCAAAGCGGTCATAAACAAAATATAAATATATGTCCAAATAAAAATAAATATATATGTATATAAAAATAATAGAAAACAAAATATATAAATGTACAGGAACAGAACATTATGTGTTTTGATTTGCATTCGTTAATTTTTATTTTCTAGTTTATAAGCTATTATTCTAATTTGAGGAGATATTCCAGAAGATTTGAGAGTATAAATATAAGATACCTAACATACCTGTCTGATAAGAATGATTTTAGTAAGCTGTAAAAATGCATCAGAAGATACTGTTTATCATGCAATGCTCTATCGAATGATTGCCTAACGTCTAAACACAACCCCTTTTTTTTTCTACAAAAAGATATAAATAAGGAATTACGCCATAGCTTAAAAACTTTGCTTTACGTTTCTTCTAAAAACACTAAAAACCCATCCTTATAGAACACGAATTACCAAAATATTTAACTATTATTTCCTAAAACCAACAACGGAATGTTATGTGATTTTACAGATTCAGAAACTTTCCCCATTTCGTACTATTTACAAGACGCTGTGAAAATGTTTGGAAAGTGTAATGTAATGTTTCTGAATCTGGAAAGCAAATAATAGTTAACTAATTTGTCGTAACTACATTAAGCTTCTAACTATAATGAGACGCAAAGAACGTATATAACACAGAGAATAAAAGCGTCAAATTGATGCCTGTTCATTTTGCATCAAGTAATTCTTGAGTAATGAATATAAATATAATAAAATATGTATATGATCTTTAGTTTTAAATAGTTGTCTAAAAAATACTTGAAATTATTTTAACAGACTGTTAGATATTAAATATGAGATTCTACAGTACCAGCCAATTTTAAATCATCAGCATACTCGTATATTATATAGTACAATGAGAATGGTTAAAACAGGACAAAAGATCATTAATTAGCAAGAAAATAGGGCCAGAATGTAAACACTGCGGTACACCCGATGAAATATTGTAATATAACAATTAGCAGTTGTAGAATGCTGTAGAAGCAAAGTTTTTAAACATGTTGAATGAATACTTCTAAAACCATAATTAAGACTTTAAACTTAACCAAGATTCAAAACTTAATTACGAAATAAAACGCAATTGAGATTTAAAACAAAATCAGGAATTGCGACTTAAAATCTAATAATACTTAACACTTAATAAGAACTTAAAACTTAATTACGAATTTAAACGCAATTAGGATATAAAACTTGATCAATAATTGAGACTTAAAACTTAATTAAGACGTAATATTTTACAAAAATTTAAAACTTAATTACGAATTAAAATACAATTGAGAGTTAAAACTTAATCAAGAATTAAGCCTTACAAACTAATAAGAATTTTACTTAAGACTTTAAACTTAATTTGAACTTAAAACGTAATTACGAATTAAAACTCAATTAGAATTTGAAAACTTGATTAAGAATTAAAACTTCAACTTTAATTAAGACTTAAAACCTAATGAAGGTTTAAAACTTTTTTAAGACCTAAATATTAACCAAGGCTTAAAACTTAATTATGAATTAAAACGCAATTGATATTTAAAACTTAGTCAAGAAATAAAACTAAATTAATTAATACTTAAAACATAAATAATACTTAATACCTAATTTACACTGAAAACTTAACCAAGACTCAAACTTAATTACGAATTAAAAGGCTATTAAAAATTAAAACTTAATTAGACCTAAACAGGTCCTAAAACTTATTTAAGTTATAGAACTTATTTAACAGATTACTTTACTAAAACTTTCAACTTAATTAAGATTTAAAATTCCATTGAACTTGAAGCTTAATTATGAAATTAAACGCAATTATGATTTAAAAATTCGTTAAGAATTAAGACTTAAAACTTAATCAAGACTTAACACTTAAAACCCAATTAGGACTTAAAAGGTTTAAAACCTAATTAGGACTTAAAACTTAACCAAGACTCAAAGACTTAAAATTTAATTGCGAATTAAAACGCAATTATGATTTAAAACTTCATTAAGAATTAATCTATAAAATCTAATTAAGACTTAAAACTTAATCAAGACTTAAAACTTAATTACGAATTAAAAGGAAATTAAGCTTTAAAACGTAATTAAGACTTAAAACCTAATTAATACTTAATTATGACTTAAAACTTAATTACGAATTAAAGCGCAATTAATATTTAAATCTGAATTAAATCCTAAACAAGTCCTAAAACTAATTACGAATTAAAACGCAAATAAGTTCTAAAACCAAAATTAAGTCCTAAAACTTAATAATTAAGTTTTAAACCTTTTTTAAGACAAAACTTTACCAGAACTTTTTAAGACTTAAAACTTAATTAAAAATTTAAACTAAAAATGCAATTAGAAATAGTTAGTCACCGACAATGTATAAAACCCGTATCTTACGTGATCTGACAAAACGAGAAATGTAATAAATATGGCCGTAGTGGTTCTTATGATAATTGAGTAGGTATCAGCTCGGTCAAATAGTCCAGTGTCATTTTTTTTGGGGCTACTACTGAAGTTAATAATGTTAATTTTAGTCACGTGAGATATGATATTGTTGAAGACTGTATATAATCTGATAGAAAATTCTACACAAGTGTTTTCAGTATTTTTTCTTTGGTTCAGTATGCCCAGTGATTAATAATGATGATTTATTGAAAATACTTTGTTTGAAGAAATGATTACTTATTACAATATCTAATTTTTACAGGATGTGAAAGCAGTGATAACCCACTCCATCCATAGTACTTTAAATTCGGTTGGAGGCATTCAAGTTCTGTTTCCTTTATTTTCGCAACTAGACCTGCCTTACGAATCCAATAATTCTTCAGACGCTAAAAGAGATCCGACATTGTGGTAAGATTTTTTTGAAATTATTTAATTTGTTTTTATTAATTTTAAACGAGATATCCCGTGTATTTATACAATGAAAGCCGATTCAGAGAAAACATTTCAATTTCGAATTTATTCTCTAATCGCTTTTCATTTGTATTTAGCTTTAGTTTACGGCCCTAGATTTATTGGTTTTTGAAATTGAGTCTTTGAACAATTCCAAAGCTTAAAACGATTCAAGTTGATACTATTATTTCAGTCATTACCTACTTTTTATATATTTTTCGTCATGGAAAAACTTGTAATGTATGGTAACTGAATAGTTACAAATATTACGCAGCGCCCATCTCTACAGCTTGTTTTATATCATGTACGAACTACGATTGAGACGAGCTCACCTGCGCAGGTATATTGGTCAGTCGTAATTAGCGAAATGTTAAGTAAACTCGTGAAATAAAGAATTAGTGGTTACCGGTGTGTTTTAGTTATTTCCGATTTCTCAAAACTGATAAATTTTCGTGGATATAGCAAAAATAAACCAAAACAACTAAAACATTTCTCGAATTTTTATTAAGAAGTTCTAATTTTTTGTTAATTCTGATAGATACCTCATCCTTATTATACTTCAAAAAATATATTAAAGCATAAAAAAATATTTCTTTCATTTTTAGCGCCAAACTGCTGGGCTTCATCTGCGAACTGGTGGAGACCTCCCCGACGGTTCAGCAACACATGATACAGAATCGTGGATTCTTAGTGATTAGTTTCATGCTACAACGGTCGTCTAGAGATCATTTGACGATAGACGTACTACAATCTTTTCTCAGTTTAACAAAGTATCTCGTTACCTGTCTAAGTGCCAATAGCGAATTGCTGCTAAAACAGGTATGGTATTTTCAACTGGAACGATTATTCTAAAACATATAATTTGAGAGTCGGTTAGAAAGTTTGGTAAATCTTCGTTAAATTATAAAAATTATCGATTTTCTGAACGAAAACATCTCCCGAATCATCTGAGGATATTTCAATTATTGTAATGGTACCGTTTTTAACATCTTAACTTCTCACTGCACTTTCAATATCATTCAGCTTGTCAGCGGTGTTCCCTACATTGTTTACTTTAACCTGTATTATTTAATTTTAACCATCAGCGCCATTTTTTATTCTTGTCTGTCCTATGGAATAGTGTGGGCGACCCTCTTCTATCGCGTATCAAAAACGGATTTTTCAAATGGAGACAATTATAAATGAAGTTAAGTTTTTCATAAGCAATCCAATACCATCTTGTAGAGAATACAATTATTTTTAATTTAAGCTATGATTCATTGGAATAACTTACTCGAGATAATTATCTACGCGAACTCGTCTGTTTAAAGCTGGAAAGTTGGTAATAGGATCAAGCAAAAAAATTGGCACCTTCCTACTTTGTATTATTTTTTTTTAACAGCTTCTTCGTTCCTGTATATCCCCCAGTTCTTTACGCCCACCGTTTCTTTAAAAAATAATTTTACTCGACTCCTTTTTTACCATACTTTTTAATTTACTCTCGAGCAATCGTTCATTTGTAATAATTTTACGATCGTTAGTGCCTGATCTTAGTATAAAATAGTATTTAGATCAGTGTGTAATCTAGTGCAAAGTATTTTCAGTGTGATATAGGTTAATTATCAGTTAAATGACCAAAAATAAGTTCTAAAATATGAAATAAAGTGGAAGAATTGGAAGTTGTTTTGTAGTTAACATACAAATTATGTAAACTTTACTTTTAGTATCAGTTTGGGGCTATTTTTTTTGCATACATACGTGTTCTAGGGGCTAGTAGGTATGTTGGATTATGTTTCTATTAACTTAATTCAAAGTGTATTGAGCAAAAAAACTGTAGAAAACAATCGCTTATTATTTATTTGGCAATTCGCTATTTCCATTTTTTATTTATTTGAAATATAATATGATTACCCATATTTTAGAACAGATTTTATTAACTGATCAACATAACCCATCTAAATGTTCTTTTTTCTTTTTTAATTTAGAATGTTGACCATTTTTAGATTCCTGGTTTACATGTCGTGCTAATTTTTCATGTAGTTTTCATTTACATAGCAGATTTTGTGAAAAAATATCACGAAAAAAAAAATATAAAATTGGTATCTTGCAATCCACAAGACTTAACCACACTATCCACAAGACTTAACCGCTTTGTCTACAAGACCACTGTACTATCTACAATACTTAACTACACTGTCTAAAACACTTAACCACACTGCCAGCAAGAATACTTAATTATACTATCCACATGAATTTACTCTATTCATTTTATACTACCGGTATTTAAATATACAGAGTGGCCCAAAAGTCAGGAAACGGCCAATTATCTCGTAAATTGCTAGTCCTAATTGTACAAAATTTGGAGTACACCTATTTTGGAATACGGTGATTCCAGATTTGATATTTGCAATGTTGCCAGATTTGCCTTTTCTCTTAAAATATTAGTCACTTTGGTTTTTCAAATTCATCACCCTGTATATTCAGTCATTATTGGAATCTCCTATTCAATACGAGTTCAACCATATGTAACACTTATGATTTTATGTAGTCCGAAAGGTCTTAAATAAATAAAATAAGTCTGGCAACGCCTAATTGTCTAAATAATTTTTTTAATACAAACTATTTTCAACTACATTAAAAAGTAACAATTGAAAGATTATAACAATAACATTTTTAATATAATGGTTACTTTATCAAGTGTTCAAAATGTGCTCCATTTGTGAGTTGACAATAACCTAATCGATGGTAGAATGCGTCTACCACATTTGTCCATGATTGTTTTATTTATTTTGTACAATTAGGATTAGCAATTTACGAGATAATTGGCCGTTTCCAGACTTTTGGGCCAACTTCAGTCGAAATCTGCCGACTTTAAATTTTTATTTTAAAAACTGATCACCCTGTATATAACTGAACGAAAGTATAACTGGGTTTGAGCCAAAAAGGAACCTTATCTACATACAAAATTTGAAGTTTTTCTATAAATTTGTTTTTGAGCTATCGCGCCAACAGACAGACGACAGACGACAGACGACAGACGACAGACGACAGACGACAGACGACAGACGACAGACGACAGACGACAGACGACAGACGACAGACGACAGACGACAGACGACAGACGACAGACGACAGACGACAGACGACAGACGACAGACGACAGACGACAGACGACAGACGACAGACGACAGACGACAGACGACAGACGACAGACGACAGACGACAGACGACAGACGACAGACGACAGACGACAGACGACAGACGACAGACGACAGACGACAGACGACAGACGACAGACGACAGACGACAGACGACAGACGACAGACGACAGACGACAGACGACAGACGACAGACGACAGACGACAGACGACAGACGACAGACGACAGACGACAGACGACAGACGACAGACGACAGACGACAGACGACAGACGACAGACGACAGACGACAGACGACAGACGACAGACGACAGACGACAGACGACAGACGACAGACGACAGACGACAGACGACAGACGACAGACGACAGACGACAGACGACAGACGACAGACGACAGACGACAGACGACAGACGACAGACGACAGACGACAGACGACAGACGACAGACGACAGACGACAGACGACAGACGACAGACGACAGACGACAGACGACAGACGACAGACGACAGACGACAGACGACAGACGACAGACGACAGACGACAGACGACAGACGACAGACGACAGACGACAGACGACAGACGACAGACGACAGACGACAGACGACAGACGACAGACGACAGACGACAGACGACAGACGACAGACGACAGACGACAGACGACAGACGACAGACGACAGACGACAGACGACAGACGACAGACGACAGACGACAGACGACAGACGACAGACGACAGACGACAGACGACAGACGACAGACGACAGACGACAGACGACAGACGACAGACGACAGACGACAGACGACAGACGACAGACGACAGACGACAGACGACAGACGACAGACGACAGACGACAGACGACAGACGACAGACGACAGACGACAGACGACAGACGACAGACGACAGACGACAGACGACAGACGACAGACGACAGACGACAGACGACAGACGACGACGACAGACGACAGACGACAGACGACAGACGACAGACGACAGACGACAGACGACAGACGACAGACGACAGACGACAGACGACAGACGACAGACGACAGACGACAGACGACAGACGACAGACGACAGACGACAGACGACAGACGACAGACGACAGACGACAGACGACAGACGACAGACGACAGACGACAGACGACAGACGACAGACGACAGACGACAGACGACAGACGACAGACGACAGACGACAGACGACAGACGACAGACGACAGACGACAGACGACAGACGACAGACGACAGACGACAGACGACAGACGACAGACGACAGACGACAGACGACAGACGACAGACGACAGACGACAGACGACAGACGACAGACGACAGACGACAGACGACAGACGACAGACGACAGACGACAGACGACAGACGACAGACGACAGACGACAGACGACAGACGACAGACGACAGACGACAGACGACAGACGACAGACGACAGACGACAGACGACAGACGACAGACGACAGACGACAGACGACAGACGACAGACGACAGACGACAGACGACAGACGACAGACGACAGACGACAGACGACAGACGACAGACGACAGACGACAGACGACAGACGACAGACGACAGACGACAGACGACAGACGACAGACGACAGACGACAGACGACAGACGACAGACGACAGACGACAGACGACAGACGACAGACGACAGACGACAGACGACAGACGACAGACGACAGACGACAGACGACAGACGACAGACGACAGACGACAGACGACAGACGACAGACGACAGACGACAGACGACAGACGACAGACATAATGGTGGAAGATGTTTTTCGTAATCTAGGGACGTGAAAACCTGAAACGTGAAAATCAGAAATAATCTCGGAAGGTGACTTTTTCACGATTACAATACTTCCGTTTTATAGAGGGAAGTAAAAATATCAAAAAGACTTGATCGCCCTCTCCACAAAATTTAACCACTTTACAATACTTAACCACACTGTCCACAATACTTAACCACACTGTCCACAAGACATTTTATACTGCCGGTCTTTAATTAGATGTTATTAAACAGTAAAATATTTTAGTTGTATTTTCTTATAATTTAGTTGAAAGTTTGTTGGCCTGCATGTACTTAGAATTTATTAGCACAACTTAAAAATATACTCCCTCACCTGCACTGATTTTTGTTAAAGAAAAAAATATAATTCAAAGATTTTGAATTAGTTTATTGATAACTTGTAAATATTTTTAATCTAGTTTAGTTTTTATTTTACTAACATTTATATAGGTAGAGATAGATAAATAAAAATTAGACTGTTGATAGGTTTAATATTAGAAACTTTAAATATATAAATCTTAATTAAAATAAACTTGAATTTTCATAAATATAATGATCATATAATGTTGAATATTACACATTTTGGCACACCAATAATTATTATACCTACCTTGGTTCAAATTCTTCGTAAAAAATATATTATATTAAATTTTAACTTATTTTAATTTGTTGGTTATCAATTTCCTTCTATACACAGATAAGTTTAAAAAATGGAAGACGAAGCGTCATAATTTTGATTCCGTATTCCAAATTGTTGACATAAAAAGTAAAATATTTTATATGTAGTTTTTCCTTTAGAAAACAAAAATCAAATTACGAAGAATTTGAATCACCATGAGACGACCCGAAAAAAAAATGTGTATGCTTATACCCAACTTTAAAAC